CCCGGCACCCAACGCTTCTCCTACCTGTTTCTCCCCACGGTCTCATGGTCTTTCACGACAACAGTGAGCTCGGCGCCGGGGTCCAGGGGAGCTCCCTTCAGGTCCCACTCGAAGCCCTGGAGGGGAGGAGAGGGGAGCCAGGATCAGCGCCCGGCCAGGGCCGCGATGCTCACGCCGGCATCGACCGGCACCGCCGGGGGCTCTCGGAGGAGAACCAAAGTGCCAGACCCGCTTCACCGTCACGGCACTGACGGCCCCGGCCCGGCCCCTTGGCACAAACCTCAGCACCCCCAGCAAAATATCCCAGTAGACCCACAGAAAAAACGTTCCCCAGGCAAAGGCCTTCGCCTCGTCATGGCTTAAAAGTGAAGGAGAAAACGATGGGAGCTGGCACGCAGCGTTTCTGCACCAAAATGGTGTCATTTTGCTCACCAAAACCCCGGGTTTTTTTTATTTTGACCCATGAAAGCACAGGTCAGGGTTAGAAGGAAGAAGGTGCTGGAAAAAATATCCTCCCCTGGGCCAGGCTGATGAGTAAAACACACTTGTTTTCCCCTCCAGCAGCAATATTTTTAAACAGCCTCTTTTAATGTGCGTGCTTAGCCCTGATAAGATCTTGATGAAAGGGGAAAAGGCTGCAGCAAAGGGCCGTGCGGAGCTGGCTCAGTCCCGCTCCTCCGCTGCCCGGAATTTCGGATACGAAGCTGCCCGTCATGGGGACCGGCCCCAAACCCTCTGTGGGGTGGCAACCCCAGGGCATCACCGGGCCCCCGCAAGCCCCTTGTACTTGGGGCACCTTGCTGGGTCCCACGGCATCCTCTGTGCCCGGGCTGTCCCCCGCGGGGACGGGGACGGGGACACGCTCACCTCGTTCCATACGGGGTTCACGTTGTTCTTGATGACTTTAGTCCTCTTCTTCACGCCTGCAGGGAGCAACGCACACGGGTCAGACCGGCTTCACTGCCAAACTGCGGGGAAAGACCCCAAAATTCCGGTCCCCCCCGTGCACAGGTGGGGTTGAGCGCCTCCAGTGACGCCCGCAGCTCCCAGGAGCAGGGTCAGGCCCTGCTCCTCGCACACAGGCTGGGCTGTGGTGTGCACAGACGAGCTCCGGGGCCCCGCTTCGAGCCCCAGCCCTGCCACGAGCCTTGCTGGAAAACCCCGGGCAAATCATCTTGATGTGCTGTGCCTCAGTTTCCCCATGAGCAGGGCAGAGGGGAGGCTCCCAAAGGCTTCTGGGTGGGTTTTTGGGCTGGAAGGTACCACGGGGGGCCCAGACATCCTCCTCCCTCCACCCGAACCTCGGTACAGTCCCAGACGGGACCCAGAGCCCCTGTGAGAGCGGTCGGACGTTTGCACACTGAAGAGGGGGGTTGGCCCACTGACACCCCCAAAAGATGCGGGTGGGGATGCTGTCACCCGCTCTCCAGGAACGGGACCGCAGCCGTCCCGGGGAGCAGAGTCAGGTGGCAGCAGTTAAAAGCAGCCCAAAGCCAACGTCCCGAGGAGCCCCGGTGCCGGGGGGCTCCAGCCCTGCCCGAGGAGACAGACACACACCCCCCCCCCAGCCACACCCCGAAACCACCACCCTCACGTCACACCGAAAACAGGCCAGATGCCCGCTGGGCCCCAAGGGGCCGTGTCACCAGAGGGACCGGGGGGAAGAGGAAAAGGAAGAGCCGAACAATAGCGGTGACTCAAACCCCGGGGGACGCCGGCCCAGCGCCCTGCAGGGCCCTGTACCTATATACGTGGGTACCCCAGGCTGCGGATACGGCACACGGGGCTGCCGGGGAGCCCAAGCCGCTCACTCAAAATATTCTCCTTTTTTTTGTTGTTGTTTTTTTTTGTTTTACCATGGCTAAATTAATCTTTTCCTATTTCAGATTTTAAAGAGTCTCTGTTAAATCTTCCAGCCCCGAACTGAAGCGGCCGCCGGAGCCGGGCTGGGGCCGGGAGGGAGGCAGAGCTGCCATCGCCCCGACACGGCACCTCTGGAGAGCATCACCGAGCCCGAGAGACGTCAACTACCCTCGGTGTAAGGCACGTCTCCTGCTTATGCCTCGTCTTCCCGGGACGCAGAGCCCTGGAATTCCCCCCCGCGCTCTCGGGATCGTGATTTGGCCGATGAAAGCTGCTTTCCGCCTTGGCAGCGGATGGATGGAGCCCACCCTGGGCAAACACCCGGCACCCACCGCGGGATGAAGACATGAGGGGTCCCGGAGCCAGCGGGGAGCGGAGCCGGCTGGGCAGGGGCCGGCAGCAGCGCCATTCCCCCCACCCGCCCCACGCAGCACAGGAAAGGCTGGGTCAGAAGCCACTCATCCCTTCCCTTTCCTTATTTTTTTTTTTTCTAAAAATGGACATTTTCCACTGCCAGGAAACGGCTGCCAAAAAAAAAAAAAGTGACATCCTCCAGCGAGCACTTTCGAGGTGCAAAAAGCACAGCGCTCCCTTCCCGGCACCTCCATCCTCCAGCACCCACGGCAATACGGTAACCCCCCAGATAAGGGGTTATTCTTATCAATCTCATATTAGCAATTAAAAGATCTTAATGAGAGCGAAGCAGAAGAGCGATTGAACGCACCCAAGGGTGCAGCAAAGCCGGGTCCTGCTCTTTGCCGAGGCTCGCCCCCGTCACCCCATCACTTTTAGCTGCCGTGACACTGGGTGGGAGCGGTCAACGA